CTTCGCCAGCATCACTGCTTCGCAGAAGGTGGTGACGGCATCCCATTCCGTCTCGCTCCGGACCATGGCTTCGACCAGGGCCGGACGCGAAAGGTCGCCGCCGCCTATCGCCGCTACGAGGACCCGGCGGTGCTCCGCCCAAGCAGGGCACACCTCCACGGTGTGTTCCACCGTGTCCTCCGGTCCATCCTCGCAGTGGGAGCACCCGGGCGTTTCCTCCCGCCCGATTCGGTGCAGGAACCTCCCAAACACACCGTGTCCGGTGAGGACCTGCGTCAGGCGGAAGGTGAGGATGCCGTGGCGTCTCTCAAGCCACTCCTCAAAGAGGGGTCTTATCGCCGCTATAGTGGCGTGCCCAGCACGGGGTTGCGACAGTCGCTGTCTTCATGTCGCCATGAGATCGTGCCGGAAGTCTGTCCGCTGCGCGACAACTTGCCGCGGCAGCGGGGTTTCCCCACGGCATAGTGCCTCCGCACGCCATTCGTGCAGGCGCGCGAGGACTATCGCCTCCAGATCCCATGGCGGCAATCCGGCAAGGAGGCTCGCCGCCTCGCGGGAGATCGTGCGGTAGCCGCGAACCATTTTCACGGCAAGCCGCGCCAAACCACGCGCCCACACCGGAGCCCCGTAAAGGGCCATGGACCGCACGATTCCCGCGTAGAGCCTCCGGCAGGAGGCGTTTGGCCCTCCCAGGTTCGGCAGGAGCCGCCTGAAGGCAGCCCCGGTCCGTTCCAGTTTGGGAGCCAAACGTCGGAAGTGCTCAACGAAGTTCCATCGGCCGTCGAGGACGAGTATTAGGTACTTCAGCGTCGACTCGACGTCGATGGATACCCCTCCTACCATCACTGAGGATCCCGGTGGTGGCCTGTTCCGAGGACCATGGAAGTGCATGGCCTCGGACTTGTGCAGAGCCACCTCGAGACCCAGTTGCCGAATCCTCTCAACGACTATCGCAACCCCGTGTGTCATATTTTCCGCCGCCGCCTCGTACGACCCCCCCTTGTGCCAGTACCAGCGTGTCGTCAGCGTAGCAAACTACGCTGACGCCGGTAGGGAGGTCGGCGCGCAGCACCCAGTCGTAACCGATGTTCCACAGAGGTGGCCCCAGAACCGAACCCTGTGGGACACCGCACGACATCTCTCGCCGGTTCCACTCACCGTTGCGACCGGGGTAGATGACGGCCCTGTCCGTCAAGTAGTCCCCGACTATACGACGGAGATAGGTCGGCACCCGGTGATACCGGAGTGCCTCCATAATGCAGCTCCAGGGCATGGAGTTGAAGGCGTTGGCGATGTCGAGAGACACCGCCAAGACAACCCCCCTCTGGCCACTGCATCCCCCGTCGTGAGGGCTCTCACGCGCATGATGGCGTCCACCGTAGAGCGCCTCTTGCGGAAACCAAACTGGTGTATCCGAAGCCCCGTCCCCGCAAGGTGCTCGGCGAGGCGGTTTGCAATGACTCTTTCAAAGAGCTTGCCCACCTCGTCGAGCAGCACCACGGGCCGGTATGCGGACGGAGAGTCCGCAGGGCGCCCCGGCTTCCGAATGAGGACCAGCTTCCCCGTCTTCCAACGAAGCGGGAATTGGCCTCTCTCCAAGCATGCGCTTAGGAGCCCCTCCAGTCGGGGCCCGAGAGCCTCCGAGGCCAGGACCCAGGCTTTGCCAGGCAAGCCATCGGGTCCTGGGGCGGTATTCCTGGCCTTGAGCCTACGTACCGCCACTCTCAGGTCTACCCCGGTCCCTTCCGGGATGTCGTCGTCGTCGTCCTGGTGGTCCGCTTCCGGCACCGCAGGTGGCGGAGCCATAGGCGGGGACGGATGTTCCCGTCGCGCAGGGAACAGAGCGCTCACCACGTCCTCCACGAGCTGGGGCCGGAGACTTTGCGTCAGCGGGGGGGCCCAGGTGCGGAGTTTATCCCGCACCATCTTGTAAGGGCGCCCCCACGGATCTCTGTTGAGAGTCTCCAGCATCTCCTCACGGGCCCGCTCCCGGGCCCGCAAGACAGCCTCCCGGAGGGCGTTCGTGGCCGCTCTGTATCCCTCGTACAGCTCCGCCTCAATGGCTGCCGCATTCGGTGGACGAATGCGGAGCCTGCGATGCCTGGTGTACAGGTGCCGCGCGGCGACACACGCCTCGCGCAGAGACGTCAGCTCCGCGACCACCAATACACCTGACGCCGGGCGCTTCCTGGCCGGACGCGGGGCATTGCCACGTCACATATCTCGGACATGGCCTCCTGGAACCACCCTGCCTCATCATTGACGTCGGCAGGCCTGTCCGGTGATGACACCCAGGCCTGCACGATCGAGGCTTCCAGGAGGAGCTCCCGGTCCAGCTGCTTCAGCGCCCAACGCGGACCACTCGGGGCCTGTTGGACTGGCGCGCTCGAGGGCTGGGTGGAGCCATCAAACCGGATGTACTGGTGGTCGGAGTAGGTCTCCACCCCCTCCATGACACGCCAGTCAATGGCACGCGGCGACAGAGCGGGGCTAGCGAACGAGATGTCCACCACCGACTCGCTCCGCATCCGCACACACGTGGGGACAGAACCCCGATTTAGGACGACCAGGCCTGTCTCCAGAGCCACCATCCTACCCCGCACATCTGTACGACGAGAACCCCAAGCCAAGTTCTTGGCATTGAAGTCCCCGAGGACAAGTACGGGGAGGGGATAACTTCCGACGACGACTGCTCTCAGCTCTGCAAGAGAGTTGTGGAGCTCGGCGAGAGATCGGTTCGGGGAGAAGTACACCCCCACAACGACGAACTCCCCGAACCGTGCTGCTACGCACCCCTGACCCCTCCTGAATCCGTCGCGAAGATAATTTATAAAAATTAGATTACTCGTTTCGGATCACCTAAACGGATCAAGGAAGAAACTTCGAAAGCAACCTATTTCTCAAACTTCTTCAAACTAAGGGAATACAGAAGACACGTACAACAGCATACCATCCTCAGTCAAACGGAATAATCGGACGATGGCATCGTACGTTGAAGACCGCACTCAAAACTCGTTTATCTCAACATACAAAATGGATTGATGAGCTACCATAGTTTTAAAAACTAAGAGATACGGGCGAGTCGTCAAGCCTCCGGTACGCTTTCGCTAGGGGGAGAGTGATGTAGCAGCCAGTCTAACCAACCCTAAACGGGAATAAATATATACTCCGCTGCTACCATAACACAGAAGGCTTAAAAAGAAAACATTTATTTCCTAACTATCCTCGGCTACTGAGATACTGCGGGCTGCATATCGATAATTTGACGTATATATTTAACTTAACAATTTTTTCCGCTGATCCAGCTTTGCGTCGTGTTACGGTGTCTGTTTCTAAAGGTGACAGAAAGTTGGTCAACAAGTGCACTGCTTTATTCTCCATCCACTTCACGTATGAAATGCCCTGAAAACTATGGTGTATATGCCTCCTCGATTCAATTTATTGTCAACTGGTGCAGTTTTTGGAAGATGTTTCCGGTTTGTTCGAACGGTTCCACATGCCTTGGTATTCTGATAAATCAATGTATGCTGCAACATGGGTGAATTGAAAAAATTATCAACATAAATTTCACATCCTAATCCGCCCAACTTTTTTCGTAAGCTGTAGTACTACAGATTCACCTAACCCGTACTCAGTCCCAAAAGTCCGCTTGCCTGTATATAAGTCAAATTCAAACAGGTATCCTGTTGCAGCATCACATCTACACCATAATTTGAAGCCCCACTTGACTGGCTTATTTTATGTATTGCTTCATTGCATTCATCATCATCATCATTACAGCCCTTCACAAGTCCACTGCTGAACATAGGCCTCCCCCAAGTAATGCCACAAAGCACGGTCCTGAGCCACCTGCATCCATAGACGTCGAGGTCGTCACTCCATCTAGTGGGGGGTTGCCCTACACTACGCCTACCGGTACGAGGCTACCACTCGAAAACCTTTCTTCTCCATCGGTTATCGGTTCTTCGAGCTATATGGCCGGCCCATTGCCACTTCAGCTTACTAATCCGTTGAGCTATGTCGGTCACTCTGGTTTTACTGCGGATATCCTCATTTCTGAGTCTATCACGCAGAGAAACTCCGAGCATAGCCTTCTCCATAGCTCGCTGAGCGACCTTGAGCGTCCTCATACGGCCAGCAGTGAAGGACCACGTCTCAGATCCGTAAGTCATCACTGGCAACACGCACTGATTATACACTTTAGTTTTCAGAGATTGAGGTATACCTGACGAGAAGATGTGTCGTAATTTCCCGAACGCTGCCCAGCCGAGTTGAACCCGTCGATTGACCTCTCGGTCGAAGTTGGACTTACCTAGTCGGACTACTTGTCCCAGGTAAAAGTACTCGTCAACAACTTCGAGCATAGTGCTCCCAACAACTACCTGCATAGGTGTGACATGGACATTAAACATGATCTTTGTTTTGTCCATGTTCATCTTAAGACCTATCCGTTGGGAGACACCATTGAGATCATTGAGCATAGTACTAAGGTCCTCCAGCGATTCTGCCATAAGGACTATATCGTCGGCAAATCGAAGGTGAGTGATGTGCTCGCCATTGATGTTAATACTGTATCCTTTCCAGTCCAGTAGCTTGAAAACGTCTTCCAACGCATCGGTGAGGAGTTTCGGGGATATAACTTCACTTTGAATTTTATCATATGTTCATCGATAGATTGCTTATTTGTATTATTGAGAGCATTTTGAAATGAATTGTTGAAATGTTCGATTATGGGACGAATTTTATACGCTCTGTCATAACCCAGACTATTTGTGTCTCCCACTTCTTCGTTATTGCAGAAATGAAGATTTCTGCGTATCTCTTCAAATCGAGTCCTTGGCATAACATTTGATATGAAAGGTACTGCCATATCTGGTTCTGTCGACCAGTAATGTCTTAATGATGGCAAAATGTAATAGCCCATAACTAAATTCATACCAAGGAATGCTCTCATTTCTTTTACATCTACAGTAAATGCCCGGCCATTTTGATGAGCGTACCGTATTGACTCCTGTACTATATTTTGAACTAAAATATAAAAATTTGTAGTTGAACAAAATATGTCAAAGGGAGACAATACATCAGCATCAACTTCTTGACACTTTCCGAACTCATATTCCACATCACAAAAAGTATTTGGCACGTATGTCCTCTGGTTCCACTTGAAAAGTGGTTCTTGATTACTGTGTGCTCCGGTGACTGGTAAAACAGCTGTAGACGTTGTTGGCTCAGGTGGCAGACTTACTGATTCCTGAAGTGGAGCTGGAGTATCTTCAGTTTCAATGTCAGAGATCCCTTGATCATCATCCTGGGTCAAAATCCTTTGGTCTTCTTCGTCCAGTTGTAAATCGTCTTCTTCGTCACTATTGTCACCCATCAAAATCTGTAGGACTTCATCATTCTTGAGTTCAAAAACGCCACGTCCTTTACGAAACATAATCTGTAACAATATCAATAAAAAATGAGGGTAATTGACAAAAATCATCAGTAGAATAAGATAATAATTTCTCATAAATAATGTCTCTAATGGACCACTGGGACGCTGGTGTCCCTTTATGTTTATGATGTCGTATCACTGTAAACAACTTATATAATGGTTTGATGAATATATATTATATGAATTTACTTACCAGGCAATAATAATAGCACAATAAAAAACAATATAAAACACTTTGTCGTCCCGAAAAACTTTTTAAAAATTTACCGAAAACGCGCCAAGCGTACTGTCAATTTCCAATTACCATAGACGGTTTATCTTATTACCTACGTAGTGTTGTTGGCGAAAAAATTATTAAAGATGCGTTCAAGAACTAATAAAAAATAAAGGAATGGGCATTGGCTTCTTAATTATGAATATTTTCATAATTATTGGCTAGGGACACATTTGTCCCCGTAGTCGTCAAAGGGTTAAATACCATAACAATTATAATTAACAGTGCCACAACATAAAGACTTAAAGTCCATATACTTATTTTGTTCGTCACTAGGGTTTCCACCACCATTTCACTATTACTATTTCTAGCACTATTCATAATTTCTTTTACGTCACTGAAATCTACGTTTGTTAAGTCCAACTTTTTTTCTTCTTTCGTCACGTCGTAATGCACCTGCGGAATTTTCACTAGTGGTATCTGTAGACTGGCTTCCGACATGTTGCTCGATAGGCCAATGGTTATTTTTACCATTTGTATGCTGCAACCTATGATCGGCGTCAAAATGTATGTTCCTTGTAGATTAAATCTGTGGGTATCATCTTTGCACTGCTCCGTCAGTATAACATCGTCTTCTGCATAGAGTATCCAGTGGTCAAAAGTTATTTTCTGTATTTTAACTTCTCTATTTTTATTTGATGTTGATGGAAATTACTGAAGTTATTTTTAATCAGCATTATTTCTTCGATACATGTTTCTTCATCAACTGGTGCCATAATTTCCTCCGAACATAAGGTTTTGTTTGGTTCTATTTGGGTACACGGGCTTACTACGTTTCTGTATTTCAAACCATTCACTATAGGTAGGGGTATTTAGGAATTATGGTATAGGTGTTGGTCAATTTCTTTATAGGGATAGGAATAATCTTGTAATAGTTATACGTTTCTTTTTCTACTAATGGTATTTCTAAAATAAAAACTAGTGTTTGGTATTTTGTTACTTTAATACTAAGTTAATACTAAAATAATTCAAATTGTCGTTTTGGTTTGACCATTCAAGTCCTAATATTTTGTGTGAGCTATTCCTGTTTGTCCAAGTTGGACGCCTTGTGGCGTTGTTGTACTTTCTGTTTATGTAGGTAGTACTTGTTGAATATGTGTTGAATTGGTTTCCCACTTACGTAGATGAAAGTTAGCTGTGCGCAGGACTCTGTCTACCTCCAGGGCGACCTGCGCGATCCTGTGCTCATCGTCACCTGAGAGAAGTAATTCATCAGCGTAGAACTGCTCCTCGATCGCTGCGGCCGCTGCGGCTGCCACCGACAACTCGGCTGACGACCGTGCTGCATCTGGAAGTTGTTGCAAAGCAGTGAGATTTTCTTGTGCCAAGTGCAGTAAGCAGCGTGTTGCAATGTGCGGCGAGGTTTCAGTCCAAAGCTGAGTGTTGTTATTTTGAAAGTTTGAAGCTCATGGTGAGGCTCCTCCCTCCACAGAATGCATTGTATAGGTTGCTGATCAGCATTTATGTGTATGCAACAAAACATTTTTTGTATGTCGGCGTTAATTACATATTTGTGCAATCGAAATCGTAATAAAATGTGGTTAAGTGTATCCTGTTTGATTGTGACCTTGTGCAAAATATCATTTAGAGAATATCCGGATGAGGTTGGACAAGAGGCATCGAAAACTACCCTCAGGGGTGTTGTAGACTTCTCTAGGTTGACAACAGCATGGTGTGGTAAGAAATTAAGAGGGACGTCAGAGGCAGTACATTTCTCCATGCGCCCTGCTTGATCAAATTCTCGCATAAATTGAGTATACATTTGTTTAAACTCTTTGTTTTTAGAAAATTTTCTCTCCAATGACAGAAAACGTTGTTTAGAAATGTGCTTGGATTCGCCTGAAGAGGTAATAGGTAGTTTGAATGGTAAATTTACAACAAAGTTGCCCTCAGAGTTGCGGGTGTGCGTCATAAACACTTCCTCGCATTGTTTGTCATCATGGCACAACACTTGGTCGTCGGTGGAGGTGAATGGATTATCACCACATTCCTCCATTTCCCAGAAGTGTTTCAATTGAGTTTTTAAAGATAAATTGCATCGTACCTGTGTGGGACTTGCTAAAGACCCTGATACTATCCATCCCAGCTTTGTCTTTTGTAATATAGGATAACCCTCTCCCAGACTATGCCTTCCAATGCACAATAAGTTGTAAAATAGCTCGGCCCCAATGAGTAAGTCAACCTCACCCGTTGAGGAGAAGTTTTCGTCTGCTAATTTGACGTGAGTTTGATTATTCAAGAATTTAGTTTTAATTATTGATGAATTATAATTTGGTAGGTTACAAATTTGTGGCACAATTAAACAAGTCAGTTTTGTTTGAAATTGGCTATCATTTGACTCAATGTTGATGTTACTGTAATCTTTGATTTTAGTTGAATTATCATTAAAACCTATCACTTCCATGTTGATATTTCTTTTGGATAGTTTCAACAATTGAAACGCCTGTTCTGAAATAAAATTGGATTGTGAGCCACTATCTAGTAAGACTCTCAAGTGGTAGGTTTGATGTCGCGAGTCGTATGCTCGGACCACCGCTGTAGACAAAAATACCATTTTTTCATAATGATTTCTTAAATTTACGCGAACACTACACATTGAATAAAACTAAATTTACGGATTTTATCGCGTTTATTTCACTACTTTTACTTATTTTTAATTCCCGACGTTTCGGGTGCTTTATAGCAACCATGGTCACGGGGGGGGGACTGAGATGTTTGACGTCCCAATGTCATAGTTATTCCGGCTTCCTTCAGTTTTTGAATATTAATTTTCGGTCCGATTTACGCAAAACGAGCTTATAGTATCATGAAGTCTTGCAGTGGTATGCTTAGGTTTGGGTTTAATTTTGTTAATTATAGGATCCCAAGCAGGTGGCAGCACCCATCCATCTTCTCTATTGAAATTTGGATGTTTTTTAATTTCAATAGCCTCGCGTATCATCCTTGGTAGGAATCGGTGTTCTTTTACGAGAATTTGTGGTTTATGAAAACGAATGTAATGGTGGGGACGATCTTGAACATGTTCGCAGACTGCAGACTTCCCGGAGCGTCGGTGCTTCACGTCAGCTATATGTTCTTTCACGCGGGTTTTTATGGATCTTTTTTGTTTGACCTATGTAAGAGGGACCACATTCACAATCTAACTTGTACACTCCTGCATCTTGTAGAGGGATATTACACTTGACGGATGGTAAAAATTGACTAATCTTCTTCGGCGGCTTGTAGTATGTTTTAATAGAAGCTCGCTTCAAGATGTAGCCAAACCATTTTTTCATTTTTGGTTGGGGCGGTTATCGCCTTATTATGTGTATGAATTGATTGAACCTGCATTTGCTGCTGGCTGTACAAGTTCCCTTACTTGCACTTGATTACTTGATTGATTGGTTTGGTGAGAGTGCAGCGAGGTACTTGAAGTTGGTTGCGCAACATGCATCGTAGAAGGAGTCACCTTATCAATGTGTAAAAGTGTGTTATGCTTACCTTTACAATACTTGCAGTGCGAAGAGCGACAATTGGTCACATTGTGATTATTACCTAAGCAGTTTTTACACAACTTAAATGATTTTACAGCCCTATAGCGTTCCCTTGCATTCAGAGCCAAGAAATTGTTGCATTGGTTAAGATAGTGCCTACCTTTACATTGTGGACACGAAGGATTTATAGTTGACAAACTTTTCCGTGCATCCGAGCCTCCAGGTTTAGTAACATTCATGTTGTCGAGAATGTTAGCTCGCCTCCGTACAAAGTTTTTAAAATCCTGCAATGAAGGTAGCACATTTGAGTTTTGATTTTCTTCCCATGACCGTTGCATCAAGAGAGGTAATTTGTTTGACATAAAATAAATGATAATTAAGTCCCAATCATTGACAGGTATATTAAGAGTGTGAAGTGATCGCAAATGCTTGTTTATATTATCAATTATTGCTCAAGTAACTTGGAGTTTTCAGTGGAAATGGATGGAATGTCGAAGAGAGATCGCAGGTGGTTTGAAACTAGTAAGCGTGGGTTGTTGTAACGCTCACATAACAGCCTCAATGCCATTTGGTAGCAATCAGACGTGTATTCCACTGAATCGACAACCTCGAGAGCTCCGTCCTTCAGGCAACTGCGAAGATATTTGAACTTCTGTATTGATTTTAATGATCTTTGGTTTATTAAGGCGTCAAAAGTCTCCCTAAAGTCACCACTAAAACTGGGTAATGCAATTTCGGGAAATTTATTGAGAAATTAAAGAAAAATTTATTGAGTCAATGCATTCACTATGAGATGGTTTGGCTTCAGGTGTAATATGTTCGTTACTAAAGGCCTTAACCAGCCCTTTGGCTCTGGCTAGGCTCTCGAAGTAAGGTTCCTCGAATTTGGCACGTTCGAGGATTTGACTATCGGTGTCCTCGGACAGGCTTTCTAATTCGTTTTGAATTGAATCAAACTTATCATAAGTTGCTATTATATTTTCGATACGTAATTCAAGGTTTATAACACCATCTACAATGAGTGGTGTTGACAAGTTGTCGATAAAATTGGTAAATTGGGTAAGTTTACCCTTGTGGGCTGCTCTACTGCGTGAAAGTTGTTGAATATCGTCCATGATTGGGTAAAAAATTGGTTAAAATTGTAATTGAACGAAAGATAGAGGGATTGGAATAGAAAATAATAAAAAAGGAACCAGCTCACTCTCCTTTAGAAGCACGTTGAGGTGTGGTCGTGGTTGCACGTGGTCATCGTTGAGGTTATGTATGTCTCCAAGTAGTTTTTTGCGGCATGGCACTCGGTTCCTACGCCGCTCCTTCTTGTTAATTTGCTGTAGTCCGCGCAATTGGGATCAGTCAGTGTCTTGTTGTTGTGTTCTTCGTTGTGGTTGGCGTGCACGTGGTTCGAAATCCAGTCCGGCCCTCGCGCCGGTTTTCGGGTATCCGGCGGCGTCGCCTTTCGTCACACGCAGATTCCACGTTTCACAAGGGTCACCAATTTGTTTGGTACTTTGTTATGAAGGAAACACTGGAGACGTTTTGGTTTGGTAAGTGTATTTGCTCTCGCGCACCTTTGTGACAACCTTTTTAATTGTAATGTGATAATGTAATGTAATGGCCGCATTTCCGTGTCGCTAAAGCAAGCAGCACAGATGTAGCGCCATCTATGGTTTTCTATGTGAACTGTTTGTTCCAGTTAGGTAAGTAGTATATGAAAGGAAAGAGAACCATAGATGGCGCTTTAGGTTATTAGGTTGAATGGTATTTTCGTTATCGGTATAATTTACGCGTCTTGAACTAACTGTCCTCATTGTGACGTCAGTATTAGAGTTCGACGGCACTTGTGACGCTCGGTATTGCCCATTGTTTCGCAAAAAATGCTGACGGTGTTGCGCCGATGACGGTCGTACCGGTGACCCAGTTTCAAAGTTCGCATGAAAGTTATTTCTATTGTTTATTGTATGATTACTTCTTAAGTGGGGAGAAATATTATTTGAATTAAATGAATTATTTTGGTTATTCGATGAATGGCCGTTCGTTTGATATTGAAAACTTGGGCCTTTATATTTATTATTAAAATTGGGATGATTTTGGAAATGGCTTTGTCTAAAATTTTGATTAGACCTTGGGTTTCTATTTTCGTAAACTGTTTGGAAGTTCTGTTCCTCTAAGACAATTTTTAATGCGTCTTCTAAGGTGGTAACATTACGTAGTCGTACTAGTCTCACTACGTAAGCAGGTAAATTGTATAAAAAAAACGTTTAATGCTGTGTTGTCGTATATCGTTTGTTTAGCTTGCCATAAGTCTCGATTATTAATAGTTTCGTTAATTTTTGAAAACAAAATGCTTTTTAAATGTTGCACCCGGTGACAAAATTCTTGATAGCTTTCGTTTCTATATTTTCTAAGACTCTCTAGCTCCATAGCTAAGCATTCTTCAGACCTTGGGTCGTCAAAGTGTTGGTTTAACAGCGACTTGAGATCTGCTCAAGAGTCTATCTGCTCCCTTTCTCCCACTGAACTAGCAGCTTCCCCTGACAAGCGACTGGTAATGACATGAAATAAATATTCATTTTGTAAGTTACCCCCATGAAACGTTTGTAAAATATATTCGCATTTTTTATGAATAAAGGTAATAACCTAGCATCTCCACCAAAAATTGGGATAATTTTCGTCATTTCCACGGGCATTCTTTCAATGTTTTCCATTTTAAAATAAAATAAGTATCAAAGTTTTTAAATACCAAGAATAAAATTGGTTTAGCTAAGATCTACTAACAAAATTTTGATTGTTTAGTAGAAGAGTATTGCTATGGCGTTTTCTAATCCAAGACAATACCTACGTATAACTAATACAAGAGGAAACAAAAGGAAGGTTACGGGAAGTGAAAAGTTTTACTCACAGTCTCGCAGTTTCTGCTGAAGTCGCGAAGTCCTTAATTTATTTGTTTGTTCGGTGATATTCGTCCAAGCGTTGAAACGTACGTTGTCAGGATACTGGTACTGGACCACGATGATAACCGACGACACACACTCTTCCTAGACAACTGCGAATATCCTACCGGCTGCGCCAATTAGGTTGACGACAACGACTTTATATATAAAAATAATTTATTTATAGAAAATTACAGTGTTACAGCTTATAATTACTTCCAAAACTAATCCGTCTTACAGTTAACTTAGCCTAGTATTTATATTAAAATATCTCTTACTAAGCAACCCGTGCTATGACGCACGGCCTAATTCTTGTGAGTGCTTGTGAAGCAGATATTAGAGGGGTCATCACACTTAACCCGCGCGCCGACCTGCATGACTTTTATAGCCCAGTCCAGCGACGTAGCTACGTGAAGATAACACGAGTCTCACGCCGGAAAACGAAAATAATAGTTGTGTATTTTGGTTAATATTCATTGGTCATAATATAAGCATTATAATTGGCTAGGGAGAATAAAAATTGTTCCATTGGTAAACCAACAACGTAGCCGGCCATATAAATATAGGCAAGGTTGACGCAAATATATTCCATTCCATATTCTACAGTCATACTCCATTCGGCTTTACGTAAATAGTAGTTTCATTTCTCCACCAAAAAAACCATTCGGAGTCTGTTAATAGTGGCCGCATACCACCACTATTACAATGCCAAATGATTAGCAGAGCAGAACAGGCATGTTACGATATCTGTAACAAAATTATATCCAGTGTGCTCTTTTGGGCATTTGAAGCAGCGTGGTTTTGATCTGCACTGAACCTTTACATGTTTGTCCAAAGCGACATCAAACACTGTATGGAAGGGAGTATGTAGATTTCGACAGGAATTGATGTGTAAAAGCAGTACAAGTGAGAGGGAAGCTCTTGTTCTGAAAATGTAAGGACAATGGTTTGGGTAGCCCACCCACTCAATATTTTTCAATGGATGTAAGGATCACTCAATACCTTTTTTTACTTTTCGATGTAATCTCCTAGCCTTTATAATTTCTCCTCTACCAGGGGGTAGTTCCGACTAACACATAAACTCCTCCATGGAAATATCGGTTGGTATACCTCTTCAACACCCATTCTGGTAACATTAAAGGTTGGAATGACTGCTGATAGTTTGTTTTTAGCAAGAAAAGATAATGCGAAAAAGTTATTGGCATCTGAACCAGTTTTTAAAGCTATTGAGACCCTGTTACGACCTAAATTCGTAATACTTTGTTTTTCAATATTGGAAACCTTATTTTGGGATAGAATATGGCCGATCTTGACAGGTCAGATTGTATAACCAGACCAGGATCGGGTTCTATACGCTTAATGTGACCCCAGCCATCTTTGGCATATTTCGTTCCAAATATATTGCTGTCACTAAGATGATCTAGATCTTGTTTGAATCTTGTACAGGTGGTATTATCTCATCTGCATTCATGAGTACTTTTCCTCGTCACTTTGCCCTAGGTATGGGATTATTTTTGTAGAAGTCTCTCATAATCCATGGTGTTTTTGGATCCGACACGGTTAAGACAGTTCGGCGAAGGCTTTCGTATTTATCCCCGTTCTCCTTCCCAGGTAAGGCGCACCAGAACACATGGCGCGCCTTCCTCCACGGCCTCCAACTACGTCTGTGCAACAGACGCCCCCGCGTCCGATGCACAAAGGCCATGGGGCCAGGAAAAACGAGCACTTAGAAGTACTAGCCTTCCCGACCCCAGCGGCGGATCTGGTCTATGGCTCCGCCGCCAACCAAGATTCGGCTGCGGAGGGTAGGGAGAGCGGCGCCTCGCAATACCGACAATCCTCTCCCCCCGCAACCCACCACCCCCGCATCAACGGTGCGGCCCCGTTTGAGTCGCGAAGGATAGGGCGAGTGGCGCATCGCCATACCAACACTCCTCTTCCTCCGCGACTCCCCCTCGGCTGCAGCGGTAGAGGGTGCGCGAGTAACCACTCGCTGCCGTCCACCAGCACACATCCGAAGTGGGCTCCCCAAGCCCACTCGGAGCGGCCATCTCAGGCCGGCCCTTCACCTCGGGCCAGCCACGTGGGTTCCTCTTTGTTCACCGTGGGAGACCAAGCCACGGCTACTAAGCCCCCCCGCCACGACAAGACGGGAACCCGTTCGGGGGGGGGGGAAATAAGTGTCACCCTGATGTTTAAATATCGATACAATTCATAAACCGAAAGAATTGCTCCGGCGCCATTGGGATGTGGCGAATAGTCTGGATTAGGTTGTTGGCGACATCCATATCACCAGAGCTTGAACTGAGACGATTCGGTTTGGTATACATCCCCACATGCTGGAGTGAGAGCTTTGCTTCAACTAGGCCCAGGCTAGCGCGGTAGATACTACGGGGGTCTGGTTCCTCTACAGTCGTTAATTTTTATTTATTTATTATGACTTGGAGATTTTTCGGATAGTTATAAATGTATGAACAATAAAAAATAAATGCACTGAAGGACAGTTAAAAGTTCCAACTTATAAATAAAGTACAGGAATTTTTTTGCACAAGTAACGTAGACAAAGACGCATGCAACATATGCACATCAGTAAACGAAAAACTTATTACTCAGTAGACGTTTAAGTGTCCTGCTAGAGGTGTTAAATAAGTCTACATTATGTATTTTCGCCACTTTATTGAAACACCTGCTCACTCATATTAAATAAGAATTTTGGCTGTAGTTTGTATTTAATCCCGGCACATGTAGTTTGCACGCCTTGCGTAAAGATACGTATGGAACTTATAAACGTACTAGCTGTGCCCCGCGGTTTCACCCGCGTTTTTCTCGTTTCCGTGGAAATACCGAGATAAAATATTGCCTATATTATAGCCTCCCTCAATAAATGGACTATTGAATATTTAAACACTTTTCACATCAGATCAGTATTTCCCGAGATTACCGCGTTCATAACAAACAACCAAACTTTTCAGCTTTATAATATTAAGAAGAATATAGATTAATTTAAATTGTATAAGTCATTCAGCCAGGCACATAAGAATTACGACTACAGGCGGGAGTGTCCGTCCACTTTAAACCGGGTTAAATATTATTTTAAAGTACTTCTGAGTAAATTATATTTTTCGTTTTATTTTCTTGTGGCAGAAGAATATATTGATTGTTTCCGCAACCTGATCTTGATAACGCGACATATAGTTGGCCGTGCGAAAAAAAGTCTTGCCGTAAATCTAATCCTACATGTTTAAATGTTTGCCCCTGTGATTTATTTATCGTTACGGCAAAAGATAATTTAATTGGGAATTGGACTCTTTTAAAATGAAAAGGCAAATCATTTGGAATCATTGGGATCCGAGGTATAAGTATTGTTTGGCCAACCGCTGGACCAGTCAAAACTGTTGCAATGATCACGTTATTGCGAAGAAATTTAACCTGAAGTCGAGTCCCGTTACATAAATTTGGTGGCTTAAGATTTCTAAGTAAAATAATTGGGGCACCAATTTTTAACTTGAGAGAATGTGGGGGGAGCCCACTCGGGTTTAAAGAATTAAGAAATTCCTGTGGATAATGGACTGCATCTTCTTGATCCATTACATTATCAATAGAAGTGTAGGTGACTATATCCCCTGGAAGTTTAGTTAAAATTAAATCGTTAATTTCGTCAACACTACTGTTTCTCTCCGCCAATATTGCTCGTTGACACATCCATTGATAATCTTTATTTTCTATTTCGACGATATCTGGGTAAACTTTTGATATTAAACTCTCAATGCTAGTCACTTTTTCTCCTTAATCTTGATCAATAGGTATTTTATTTTCAAAATGAGGTACTTTTCCGTCTCCAATTAAAAGTAACTTCAAAGGACAATTTGTACTACCTCCCCCCAAATGTGCTCTCATGTTCGTAGATAGTTTTAAGGTATGAACAAATTTCCATAACGGAGAACTTTTGAGGCAAGATTTTACAATGTCTGCTCTAGTTCCTCTTACTACTACTGGTAAAGTTTGCCGAAAATCCCCAGCAAACATGACAGTAATCCCACCCATGATTTTATCACAGCTTCTAATATCTCTAAGAGTCCTATCTAGAGCCTCTACATGAGCTCTATGGTATATCATGGTCTATCATTGTACATTCATCCCAGAATATTATAGTGACGTCTTGCAAAACTTTTCCTAAAGGGCCATTTTTACGAATAGAGCACACGCTATCTTTCTGTAACGAAACGGTTAGTGGCAGTTTAAAAGTGGAATGAGCTGTGCGTCCACCAGCTAATAAAGTTGCAGCGATTCCTGATGACGCTACTGCCAAAGCTAGTTTTCCCTGAGACCTTACTTTTGCTAATATCAAATTAGTAATGAATGTTTTGCCGGTTCCGCCTGGAGCATCCTAAAAAAATATTTTTCCCTCATTGAAACGAACACTGTGCATAACACTATTGTATACCATCACCTGGTCATTAACTAACTTGGGTTCATTTACAGTAATATACTCATTTAATTCATTTACATCGTATGGCTTCCGCAACGCTATTTCTAAAGGATCCAAATTATGGTGTGTGTTATTCCTTTTTGTTGCAGGAAGCCCAAAATCAGTTAATGATTTATCGCAAATCTCATGAATCTTATCTTCAATTATGATATAAGTCCATCATTGTATATGTCATCACTATATGCTAATGTCATATCCTGGGTCTCATTACGCATTCTGTATAATATATCTTGACACAAATCTTCCCGTAATTTGTTCCATAGCTGCAAGGGGTCAGATGGTTGGCAAAATATGAGGATTATGGTAAATAATTCTCTTAATTTTGGAGCCGGCTTGGACATGACAGCATCTGACATACTATTTTGCCAATGTTCATCTCCCTCCAGTAAACCTAATTCCTTGCAAGCTCCTTGATAAGTATTGAAAATAACACCATTTACTGTCCTTAGATGTTCAAATGACATTTGACCCGGAACATGATGCTTACTTACTGCATTCTGCACCTGCATTCTTAACCCGGCGTGAATGAGGTGAGAAATTGTTACACCAGCTATGAGGCGGGTAGGAGATACCCAAAATTTTGATGTTCAATTTTTTATACTATAATTATGTAATTAGCATTTATGCTTAAGATATATTAATAATAGTACTCATTCAGCAAGATTAGTAAATAAAATACAAGCATTAAGCACAAAAAGCGTTATTTTTTATTGAAATTACAAAGTATCTAAATTTTCTTTAAAAAGTTACAAGTTAAGGTAGTTAACTTCTTTTCGCATAAAAATCTAAAAAGAATCCCACTTCTTTAGTCAATCAACATAACAATAGAGTCTTCTAGTTATTATAAATAAAAAAGGCACTGAAAAGTCTTGTGAGATCATGTAACAGAGCACCAAAGTTACACCTACAAATCAGCACAATTTCCACACATAAAATCGCGTGTTCCATACATATTGGCTTCTCACATTTTGTACAGAAATGTTTTGTTTTTCTGTCTTTTTTCTGAGTACACTCACCACATCTTACATATTTACCAGCCATTTGTTTTGGAAATGATGGTGAGGGTTCCCCTAAATGATCGGCAATCCTCTTTCGTGTTTCCCTTGGAAGATGTACGTTCTGTTGCCTGTTCCAAAGACTATCATTTATTAGATTCAAACTTAATTACGAATGTAGTCTCGGTGCTTCATGCGTGTTTTGTCAGTCGTGTTATTTTCTCTGTAGATTACGATACCATTTATGGCAGCCATATTGAGTATACCATAAAAAATCGTCATGTGCCAACGTTTGCTATTGCGTGAAACATCATAAGTGGCACTCAGTTCATCTGCGACATCGACTCCGGCTTTAGTTTTATTATAATAAGTAATCATTTCCGGTTTTCTTTTATCCCCTGTCGATTCGTCTATATTTTTGTCATGGTGTAAAGTTGACATAACCAGCACAACTTTATTTTTTTAGGTACATAGGACACCAAAGTAATATCGTTTTGGAACCCGAATCGACAGCTATTGACTTCTGTTCCCTTTTTGAAGATCTCAGGTACACTTGTCTTGTTTTTACGGACTGTGCCGACAGAAGTTAATGAATGGTCTTTCAAGAGATGAATCATAAGTGGATAACTAGTAAACCAGTTATCTAATGTCAAGTTCCTGTTCGTTTTTGTTATTGGCTCCACTAAACGGCTTACAATGTCAAACGCTTTGTTACTCAGTTGGTAAGGTCCTGGTGGTTGTTTTCTTGCTTATATTTCCAATTTGAGAATGTAAAACTTCTCCGCATCTACAAGAGCTTGAATTTTTATCCCATATTTGGCTGGTTTGTTGGGAATGTATACGCGGAAAGGCCATCGCCCTCGGAAAGATAACAACATCTCATCAATAGTAAGATTCTCGGAAGGCACATAATGTTTTTGAATATTTACAATAAAATTTTCAAAAATGTCCCTTATTGCAGCTAGATTGTCACTCTTTTTTCTTTGGTCCCTAATATTTAAATCATCGAATCTCAAACAATTTTCAAGGAAGTAAAACCTCTGCAGTGACATTGTAGTCCGAAAGATTTCAACTCCTGTACCATCTGTACGCCACAAATCGTTCAGTTTTTGTCTATTTGAGCGATTTAGGCCAGCTATATACAAAAGTCCTATAAATGCCTTCAAATCCTCCAAAGTTACATCTTTCATGTGATACTGCTCATTATTTTTTGGATGTTTTTCCCTTTTATCCTTTATTTGAATATTTGTGTATGTTAGTACGGTATTCAACATACTGTCTGTTATAAAGAGACTCCAAGTTTCAATCTCAGTTTTAGCAAGTTTTGCAGTACCTTTTACGCCTGTAGCATTAGTAATTATATTCTCAGATTGAACTCGAACGCTTTGTCTAGGACAATCTTTTGACCATTTTGTGCCATCTTTGGATGTATAAGAAGTTCCACGTACCTCAGCCGACTGACTATTAGATGCCGGCACAGATTCCGGCTCTTCCAAATTATCCAAAATACCCTCTTGTATCGGAATCACTTTCTTCACTTCTCTGAGAAACGTTATCAATTTCTTCTTCGCTCTCGGAATCACAGGAGCTGGCACTTGAGCAGTTTTTTAATATTTCTTGTAGCCGACGTTCATTTTCTTCATAAGACATCTTGAAAAATCTAAAAATAAATCATAAAATACTATAAATAACTATAAATCAAAAACTTACTGTCAACACAAAATTGTAACACCGACAACGAGGTCGGGTGTGACGTACCCCAGCCACGTGTACACATGTGTATCTACCGTCGCCGCCGGCGCAACACTAAATTCGATACTGTACCCCGCCCCTCGCATCCTTACCTCCAGCTACTGAAACGACAGGACTCGCATGGAACAGTAACATTAAATAATCTGCGTTTAAAAACTTCTCGGGTATCACATACCCGACCTCACTCACGCCGGGTTAAATAGTAACATTCAGTTTGTGTCGGATGAATGTTGTAGGCACGACCTAAAGTTGAGTCTTTTTTATACCGGGATATCCTTCAACATCTTGTCCACGTCTTCTTCTAGAAAATGAATTTCTTTCCCATACGTAATACTGGGGTACTTCGCGATAAAAAAGGGTTTTGGCAAAATCGGCTCTTTTGCAAAGAACAAAGAACGCTGTAAGTGTCGTTGATGAAGGATTGTTGACGCGATCTTGAAGATTTTCATTATTATAAAAATAAACTCTTTGTCCATTTTCTAAATGAACTGCTAAATGAACTATTGCCGGAAAACGTTCACGAATCGGAAATTAGAAAATTATCCAGAGTGCTTCCGAGGAACTTATATAGCGACCATTTAAATATTTTTCTACTTCATCGTTATTATTTTGTAACGAAAATGTGGCTTGATCAGAACCTTTATGAATATACTTAGAGATGTACTTAATGGCTTTGACCGATTGGCAAAACTCTACGTTAATGTGTGCATTGAAGCTTCGTGATAGCACAGGGTTATAGGGAACAACCCACCTATTATCCACTCTCATTTCTGTACCTTTGACACGAATTATTGCGGTGTTTCCACCATTATCTGGTGAACGGCGCTTGTAGGTTGGGTAACCGTCATCCCCGGTTTGTGTTTCAGAAATAAACTGCCTGGGGTATTTTTTAGAGCAAATGTTTTCTTTCATACATGGTGACGCAGGATTGTGAAATCCGCAAGGACCGTGTATCATATTTTTTATGACAATGTTATAAAGCATTGGGTCTTGTGGTTTGTCAGGTATTTCAGCCGATATTATTGCATCTATGGAATCCGGTTGCACTTTGTTAGCCAGCCACAACAAAATGTAAGGTAAACCTCTTTTTTGCCATTCTACACTATAAACGAAGGCTTTCGATGGTCCAAATATATTTTTCTTCGTTAATAGGTCTATCACTTTTTTTTTAGTTTTAAATGAAATACTCTAGAAATCAAATCATGTCTGTCGTAAGAATTTTGATCGGGTAGTAACTCAATTTTTATTTCTGGCCATTCGGAGTTACATGTGAATGTTATAAAGAGATCTGGTCTTCCAAATTTCCTGACATAGATCATGGCATCTTGACTTTTTTCATTCATGTATCTAGGAGATCCTGTAAATGACGATGGCAATATAACGTGCTGGCCAACATTAGAAGCGTCTACATTGCCATCATTAACCACGGCATCTCTTAAATGAGTGTACTCTTCTGCCCTTAGTTTTCTTTGATTTCTTTTTATGAAGTCAAGCCTCTCAGAAATCATTTTTGCCGCCATATCAACTCAGTATTGATTAAATAATCCTTCGAAATAATGTATGTTGTTAAAGTTATTTATTCTCACCATGAGTTTAAATGAATAAAACTGCATACATGATATAGTTTTAGATCTAGCAGCAGTATTTTGCTGTGGAATATTTATACAATATCCGTCATTTCCAAAGGGAAACAGTAAAGGATATTGAAGTGGGTCATAAGATCTATTGAAGTAAAAACATCAGACCGGTAACGAATTTGAATAAAAATTGCCATGACAACCAGATACACAACGATGTCAAAACATGTCAAATTTTGTTTTCAGGCTCGTAATAGTGAAACGGCAAGATTTAAGTGAAAAATGAGATATTATTGATTTAGGAAAAAAGGTAGCGCAACAGTGCGCACGAAGCCCGAAATTGCAGAGTTACGGAGAACTAAATAAAAGATCGAAAAAGGTAGACTCCATTGACACCGATTTAAAAGTGCTGATAGCGTGAAAATACGAAGTGAAAATGATTTGTTATTGTGTTCTTATGGTTTAAAAACGTTACAGGATCCTATGGAAATAAAGATGATGCAAAATATCTAGTTTTGAGGCGAATGCAGAAAATCAAAAACAGAATGGAAAAATAAATTTAAAATAGTGTAAAATGATATGTATATTAACAACACTACATTTTCCCCCTGACCCTGGAAAATTTTTGACTCAGGAAAAATTTTGATATGTACATTCTAAAATAAACCATAAAAACACAGCTTTGCAGAAACAGACATCACCAGGCAAAATCAGATATACTATCTCTTACATTCATCATCTGCATTCAAGTAAGGGTGGAGTTCACATTCAATGACTACCACTCTAAAAGTGTGTTTTCGAAAGGACATTCAGGCTTATTTAAGGAGTTGTCATCCGCTCCTGCGTGGAAAAAAAAAACAATTTTATTAAGGGAGTAGTCAGCCGCTCCCAAGTGAAGATACAGATAAAGAAATCAATCTTAAGCAAGCTTTAGTCGCTATGACTTAAGTAAAGATTAAGAACGGTCAGAGCCTTAGGGCTCAAAGCCAGAGATCAGCAACATCACTAACGAGATGTGTTGTCTGAAATAAAAATAAAAAGTGAAGATTAACCAACGAAAATTCGAGGTCCTAAAGCAAGATGTGTTGAAGAACACTGGATCACTAAACAAACAAACAAATTAAAAGAAATAAAAATAATAAGGTGAGAATGATGGTGATATTTATACATATATACAAATTAACAGTTAATAAAAGTTAAGAAAATTTATGATTTTACATCTTTGATGTGCCACGTGCCTCTAACTCCATTAGGGTCTTCAAGCACATAGACTAGTGGTGACAGTTTAGCTATCACTTTGCACTTGATGAACTAAGGGGCAAGTTTAGCATTAAAGTATGCGCCGGCATTGCTTAAAACATGGTTTTTACGTCAAACAGTGTCTCCCACATTAAATTCTTTAAAAGACCGGCGAAGATCATAGCGAGCGCTATTTTTAGCGTGAGCTATGTGAAGTTTAGTTTGAAATTTGTGAAAAATAGATGAGAGGAGACCAGCATTAGACGCGTAAATGTCACGAGGCATAAATATCAATTCCTCAAGGTTCTGAGTTGTAGTATAGAAGGAACCGCAAGGTATTGTTTCCCTTCCAAAGACTAACAAGTTTGGAGTAAAGCCAGTAGCTACATTTGTAGCGCTGTTCATTGCGTACTGAATCTTAGCAAGATGGTTGTCCCAGGATCTATGATCGTCTCCTACTAGAGATGCTAGAGCTGTAATAATTGTACTATTAAACTTCTCCGTAGGATTAACCTGAGGACAATATAAAGCTGTGTGAAAACTACAAGGAACGATATAAGAGTTTAAGAATGAGTGGAATTCTCGCGACTGAAATTGAACCGCGTTGTCCATTATAATAGTTTGGGGAATGCCATGAACTAGAAAAAGTGAATTTTCCAAAACATTAATAATATTAGCTGAAGTAGCACGTTTAAGGGGAAAAAATCATAGTATATTTATTAGTAAAATTGCAGTTAATTACTAGAATATACTGATTTCGTCTTCGAGTCATAGGCAATGGACCCATAGGCGTAGTCCTAATTGGGAGCGATCGTACGATGGCGCGATGCGTTTTTCATCTCACGATCAAAGTGGTCGTACGATGACCTAACAGGTGTCCTAATAGATCGCGCGATGTCTATCGTGCGATGCCGTCGCTCGATGGCTGGCGTCGCGCTTACGCCACTTTAACGATGGCTCTTTATAGAGATGCACAGTTTTTGCTGTCGGGCAATATTGCTTTAAAAATTGCAAATGACATTGAAAAAAGGAAACGTAGACAACATAAAATACTTTATAGATCCAGGAATCTGCGCGGTGAATTTTTCAACCTTTATTTTGATGTACGAAATAACGAAGAAGACTTTTACGATTACTTGTCTATGTCAAAAGAAACATTTGACTACATCTGCAATGGAATACGTAGCGATTGTAATCATAGAGTGACCAACCTTAAAAAACCCATTAGTGTGGAAGAAAGATTGGTATTAACAATCAGGTAAGTTTTTTATTATTATTATGTGTGCGTATCCATTTTCCTCCAATTTGTAAGTCCCTGTTGAAAGACCATTCAAATGAAAGACAAATATTTTATGTATTTTTTATATTTATTTATTACTTTTTTATATTTCTTTCAAATAGGTAGTCATTATGTCGGTTTAATGTTCAACATAGTATATAAAACACTTCTTAAGTCAGCAAAATTACGTAGAATTCTAGTTTTAAACTACTGGATTTACAAATTTTAAAAAAATCTTATAATCAACTATTACGGTATAAAAAAAGCAGGAAGAAAGAGCTTTAAAAAAAAGCAGTGATAGCCGAGTGGTACGACCGTTGGACTGCCAAGTCAAAGGTTGCAGGTTCGAACCCCGGCACGCACTAATGTCTTTTAGAATTCATGTGCGTATTATAAATTAATTATCACTTGCTAAAAACGGTGAAGGAAAACATCGTGAAGAAACCAGCACACCTGAGAGATTTTTCAACGGTGTGTGAAGCCATGTCAGAGGCCTACGGGCGGTTTAAACTTTTTTTTTAAACTTAAGGTTGTTCATCAACCATACGATAAGAAGAAGACGGTATAAAAAAAGCAATAATCACACATTTTTTTATTAGAAAAAGAAATTGAGGTGTAAAAAATCTTATATTCAAGAATCATATTCAGCATTAAATGATTCGTAGAATTGTTGTGTGTTTGTCGGTGGTGCCATGGATGGATGTGAGGATGCGTGCACAGGTGAAGGTATGATTGACATTGACATAGTAGATGAAGAGTTTGAAAGGGGTGATGACATAGCTAGAGAAATTTCGTCTGCTATTGTATTCTGTAGTTTACTTTTTAATCTTAATTTTTGCACTGGATTCATATATTTAAAATATGGAGCTAGCGATTTCAAAAATAGTAAATCTTCATCATCAACTTCTTTTTCTTTGTCCTTAAACGCTTTAATTTTATCTTCTTCGATTTGGATCATTCGACGCTGATATTCGGTTAAAGATTTATTTTCTTTACGTTTTCTTTTTTGGGATCCAGTTTGTAATCCACTATCCAAAGCTTCAGTTGACAAAGCACTCGTGCTCTGTGTAATTGTACTGCGCGCACTGGTAGACAGTGGTTCGTCATCAGAAGACACAAAAGCCTCGGATCTATTAGACACTGCAGTAGAATTCTCTTCATCAGGCAACTGAAGATTCTGCTCTGATCTTGAAGTGGATGGTAGGCTGGCATCATTATCATTATTTCCAGTTTCTTGATGAACACTATTACCTTCGGTTGGTCGAGGCATTGAAACATCCTTTAAAAACAACATATGTTGGTAATAGGTCCACTTTCCTGAGTAATATTGTTCATTTGGGCTTCCTGGATCTCCAGAGCGAGGCTTACGAACTTTTTTCAATTCTTTTAGAAAGACATCCCTTAAGTGTCGTCACCTAGTTTTAACGTCCTTTTCTGTAGTAAATAACGATACATTTTAATTCAACGTGTTATTATTTACAGGTACTTAACAACAGGAACCCCTTTTCGGAAATTAGGAGTGCCATTTCGCATTTCAAAAACCGCAATAGCAAATATCCTGATGGAGGTTTGCAGTGCAATTTGGAATAATTTTAACGAAATACATGAAGTTTCCAAGTATCGAAGATTTTAAGGAAATAGCAAATTCATTTTCAAATAAAAATAAATTTCCACATTGCTGTGGGAATCTGGACGGAAAACACATTCGTATCGTAAAGCCACAACTCTCTGGAAGCATGTATTTCAACTACAAAAATTATTACTCAATTGTTTTATTAGCGGTGTCCGATTCAGACAACACATTTCGCATCATTGACGTAGGTGCATACGGGAAAAATAGTGATGGAGGCGTTTTCAGCAATTCAAAATTTTTTCAAGAACTTAACAGTGGAAATATTCAATTACCACCCGAGGAACGATTACCGAATAGTGATATTGTGGCACCATATGTATTTTTAGGGGACGAGGCTTTTCCTTTGAAAACGTTCATAATGAGACCTTATCCAAGAACACAAGCAACAGGAAATGCAGATAAATCAAGATTTAATTTCAAATTGTCTACTACAAGGGTCGGTATAGAATGCACCTTTGGAATGGCTGCTAGTAAATTTAGAATTCTTTTAAAAAGCATCGAAACATCTGTGGACAATTCAATTAAAATTGTAAAGGCAGTCTGTCTGTTGCACAATATTATAATACACAGAGATAAGAGAGAACCAGAATTATCTGTAACAAATAATCAATTAAATAACAATTTTGGAAGACTTCCTCGTAATAGAGTTAATAATCGTGCTACAATAACAGCAATTAACGCTAGAGAACTCTTCACCACTTATTTCCTTAATAGAAATGATTCCTAATTAACAGTTAATTTACGTCAATAGGGCTTAGTGCATAGTTGGCATACTAAATTCACCTATGAGGAGCCCCACTATGGGAAAATAAAATTATAAAAAATGTAAAAAATATATTGACGATTCAAACCCTCATATCTTCTAAAGTATACCACTTACGATAATTTACTTGACACATGTTTCATCATTGGCTGTCACAATTTTTTTCCCCGTACTGAGGCTCCTCATGGGTGAAATCGGGTCTAGTTCATAATTTCGAACGTGAAATCACTATGCCAGGCTTCATACAAAAATGTCAGAACCTCTTTAGTAATGAATGGAGGTACGATTTACGATTACGATTCAAATTATATCTAACTATACTAAGTAGATACTTAAGCCAAGGTATGAGTGTGAGTGTGTGTGTGTGTGTGGTATACATTATACAATTCTGGTTGTGATTAAAACTAAGCTCAATTTACTATCTATACTTGTTTTATTTACGTTCCTCGCAATTATATCCCATGCTCTTTCACTTTTCAACCTGTTTTTGTAGTCCTCACTCTGTTTATTCCAAACAACAGGATGTAAACGTACTTGGTTAATTAAATCTTCTTCGAATGTCATCTTGTATGTAACAGAATAGCCAAACGCTTTACACGAAGAATGAACACACAAAATGGCGTCCGGCCGCGAGCGAGCCGAGTACCTACTGTGTGTCACTGGTGTTGGCCCTTGCCCCTTTCGTCCCGCGCCCCTCGCGCGTCGACGCATCGCGTATGTAACCAATTAGGACACTCAAAAGAGATCTGTTGCTTTGATTACATGGTCGCACGATCAAACGCATCGTACGATCGTTATTAACCTTCCGTGAACCACGTGGATAAAAGTTACGTCCTGCACTACGTGGGGTTTCCTGGACCCAATAATCTTTCCACGTTTTTATAGCTAGTATTTATTGTAAATTTGTAATGTGTATATTATTATTATTATCCCTTGACTATAAGAGGTTAAAAATAAAATAAATTTATCAAATATTATAAACATTTATTATATCTTTAGGCTATGTAACAGAAATAGTACTTTTTACCAACTAAAATAAGACTATGTTCTATGGGTTAGACTTTAAGAAAAAAAATTAACTAAGAACTTCTTCAATTCTATGCTTTGGAGGCAAAACAAAGTAGGAAACAAAAAAAAAAATTACTAAAACTAATTAGTCTTCTTGAGATCCAAGTTGGTTCAAATCACCACAATTTTTACAAAAGAAGTGAGCATGCTCTAAGCATATCGGTACTTCGCATTACAACGGTACTTGGTCTTTCGATCTTTCCTTCTATCACATTCCGAACATCTTGTTATAGACTTTGGTATCTTCTTTGGTGGTTCTGCAGGTGTTTCCCCAAGTAAACCATGTATGCGCTTTCGAAAATCCCTTGGAATCCGTGGGTTATCTTTCCGGTTTCTCAAGTGCTCTTCAATCAAAGATGTTTCCAAATCGCGAATAAAATTTCTCCGGTTGTTAGTTTTCTTTGCTTCAATGTTATTGTTCAACATATGTAAAATCATTGCATTGATTCCTGCATGATTGAGCATTGAGAAAAATAAAGTGAGTGGCCAGCGCTTGCTGTTGCGAGACACGTCGTATGTTCTAGCAAGTTTATCAACAACATCTACTCCGCTTTTGGTTTGATTATAGAAAGTTATCATAGACGGTTTCTGCTTGTTTCCCGTTTCTTGATCAATTTCATTGTCATGATGAAGGGATGACATCAAATAAACGAACTTTCGTGGCTTTGGAATATACGAAACAAGTGTGATATTTTTTTGAAAGCCAAACCGTTAAGTATGTTCCTTTCGCGGTAGTTTGAAACAAGGCGGAATACATGCTTTATTAGCTCTCAAAGTACCAACTATCGTTAGTTTATGTTTCTCCAGTAAATTCTCAGCAACTTCATGACTGATAAAAAAAATTATCCATAGTAATATTTCTCGACGAGCCGGAAATGCAGGTTACCATACGATCAACTAAGTCAAAGGGCTTGTTGCTAAACGCAAACGAACTGTTGTCTGGCTGTTTACCGCAGTAGATCTCTAAATTTACGGTGTAAAATGTTTTAGCATCTACTAAGGCATAAATTTTTATTCCGTACTTCGCGGGTTTAGACGGGATATACTGGCGAAACCCGCATCTCCCTCGAAGGGCAACCAATTCTTCATCAAGTGTTAGGTATTCGGATGGTGTGTAAGCATTTTGGCAAAGCCGAACAAAGAGCTCGAATATGTCTCGAATTGGGGCTAAACGATCAGTCTTTATTCTCTCTACCCTAGTCGTAGCATCATCGAATCTCATACTATTGAGTAAGAAAGAGAACCGATTTTTAGACATCGTGCAGCGAAACACTTCGATTCCAGTACCATCAGAAGCCCAGAGGTCATTGAGATTTTGTTTCCAGAACGGTACAATCCTGCTAAAAATAAAAGCCCGAAAACTGCTTTCATTTCCGATGTAGTTGTTTCATTATAGATAATATTTATTTGTTCGCCGTCTGGTGGCTGTGGTCTGGAAAGACATATCTTTGCATTCGTATATTTCACAACTGATTCTAGAATTTCATTGGAAATAAATACTTCAAAGCATTCTAAACTGTTTTTTTTTTGTCTTTATATTGGCTCTTTACTCCCGGCAATTGAGTAATTATATTTTCTGATCTTGTACGAGCATTAGTTCTCGGTGGCTCCTTCTGCCATTTTGTTTTGCCATCTTTACCAGTGTAAAACTGATTTGAACAAGAAGATTCACCACCTGAAGTAATATCCTGTACTTCCTCTTCACTTTCACTTTCAGACTGAATGCTCAAGTGATCCGAGTCATCTTCACTTCCAGGTAGAAACAGCTCATCCGTATCGCTATCATTTTCTTCCATAAGTGCGGATAATATTGCATTTTCATTGATGTGATGAGCCATAATGAGCCCTAGAAACAATTTCAGATAATTTTAAATAATAAAAAAACAAATTAAATAAATATTTATATAAAAATAGTCGTATTTTATCACACCATACTGCTCACCTTTTAGTGGACGTCCCGAAATACGTGGGGTTTCTGACACCCAGCTGCACTTTGACAGCGTCCGTTCACCGCGTCTGCGACGCAACTACTAAATCGCTGTCGCTAAGAGGTCTGGCAACGTCGCAACTCCAGCTACACGAGGTTTCAAGACTTTCGCACAATGTTTATAAAAGATACAAAGATTTTTGTATGGCTGGGGTGTATTAAACCCCACATGGTGCACGGAGGGTTAAGCATTTCATGTGCTCGCACGATTACTTGCGAGGTTTAAATAGGACACTCTGATGAAATCTGTATGTTTGAACTCATCGCACGACGAGAACGCATCGTGTCATCGTACGATCGCTGTCAATTAGGACGACGCCTTAAGATCTAAGGATATAGTTTGAAAAGGTCTGGAGCAAAGTTTGGGTTTACCCATAAGACCATAGGGAGAATGATTAGGGTGTTTGTAGGTTAAGCAGGTTTCACAAGTCGAGATTAATTTGGCAATGTCCTTAAACATACCAGGCCAATAGTATTTTAAAGATATTTTCTTGAATGTCTTGAAGATACCAAGATGGAGTTCTGAAGGGGAACCATGGTTAACTTCAATAAGTGCATGTCTATCTTGAGGTAGTGGAACTTCTTTCCAAATAAAGTCATCGTTTAGACGATCGGGAGAATGGATGCAGCGGTAAAGTTTGTTATCCCTGATAGTGTAGTTGCATCTGGGTTGTTGGAGCATCCGAGAAAAATCTTGTTGTAGTGCTCAAGTTTACGATCAGGTGGTTCTTCATATCGTTCGTAATAACTTCGATCGTAATAGGATGTACGCCTTGAGGTGAAGTTTCTCGTGTATAAGGACGTTCTTGATTCTTATGTCTTGATAAAAACTCTGGAACAACGTTATTCCTTTCCTTTTTTATGTTTCAGGACAAAGTTAAAGCATGATAAGCGTAAAGTCCAGCGAGCAAGTCTTCCTGATGGATTCGATAAGTTCTGAAACCATTTAAGTGCAGCATGATCAGTATATATTGTAAATTCTTTACCATTGTCTAGGTAACATCGCCAATGTTCTAACGCAGTTATTACAGCCAATGTTTCTCTTTCAGTAGTTGAGTAGTTCTGTTGATTTTTGTTTAGTGCTTTACTCATGTAAGCAATCACGACTTCTTTGTCATCTTGATATTGAGTAAGCATTGCTCCTATGCCATAATTTGATGCATCACAATGTACAGAGAAGGGTAGTTCGAAGTTAGGGCCAAGCAAGGCAGGAGCAGTTAACAAAGCTTCTTTAAGTTTCTGGAAAGCAGCTGCAGCTTGTGAATTCCATAAAAATTTAGGAGCGTTCTTCCCGGAACAGGTTAGTTGGTTGAGTGGAGAGGCAATAGTGCTAAAGTTTGGAATGAATCTTCTGAACCAGCTGCAGGTGCCTATGAATCTTCGTACTTCTTTTCTGCAAGTAGGTACAGGATATTCTAAAATAGCTTTTATTTTATCTGGATCAGCACGTAGACCATACTCGTCCACTAGAAAACCAAGGTATTTCATTTCTTTCTTGAAGAATTGACTCTTCTTAAAATTAATAGTCAGATTAGCATATGAAAGTTTTTCATGAACTTTCATGAGAAGCGATATGTGTTCATCAAAAGTCTCGCTAATAATAACGATGTCATCCAGATAGCAAAATACCTTGTTCTCAAATTAAGAGTAAAAAGCATATCCATTAATCTTTGTAGAGTTGCAGGTGAGTTAGTGAGACCAAAAGACATTACCTTGAATCTAAACATACCTCTTCCAGGTAAATAAAATGCAGTTTTATCTTTATCAGCAGGATTCAAGGGAATCTCCCAAAATGCTTTCGCAATGTCGATGCTTGATAAGTATTTGGCATTCTTCAGGTTGTCCAAAATTTCACTTATTAGTGGCAGACTATAAGCATCACGACGTGTAACTGAGAAGCTTCCTGCTGTCTACGCAGAAACGCCATTCACCATTCTTCTTCGAAGTGATTAGAACTGGAGATAACCAAGGACTTTCGCATTGTTCAATGACGTTCCATCCCAGCATCTTGTCAACTTCATTAATTAACGCCTTTTGTTTTTCAGGAGACAGTCTGTAACATCTTTGTTTGATTGGAAGAGAATCACCAGTATCAATCTTGTGGGTTATTAAGTATGTGCTTCCTAGGATACCTTTTTCTTCAAAAGAAATTGTCTTGAAGCGTTGGATGATGTCGTTAGCGATGTTCTTTTGGTTAGGAGTTAAATGCTCATAAGGTAAAACTTTAATATCTTTAGTTACGATAGCAGAGTATTTAGATTCTGTAAAGTTAAGAGAAGATAAAACACTAGGTAAAAGATTAAATTTTCTCCAAAAGTCAATACCTAGTATTAGCGAAGGAAATATTTCAGGGAAAACATAAGCTTTAATCAAATGAGTTTGATTATTGAAATGAACAGATAAGTCAAAATAACCCAAGGAATTAACTTTTTGATTATTAGCAGTAGAGACAGTAATAAGATCTGACTTGAAAAGTTTACAGCCCAGTTTAAGAATTTCCAAATGAGAATTATTACCCAGAATAGTTACTGAGCTGCCAGAATCTAGTAAACCAGATAAAGTTAAGTCATAAATTTTGACATTAACGAATGGACGATTAAGATCTTGTTCTTTGGAGTAGAGTGTAGAAGAGATTTTGTAACAAGAAAAGAAGTTTTGAATTGTTTTAATCCAACTAGTCAATCGTCATTATCAAAGTTTAAGTTACTTTTCAAGTCAGCAGTTAGTTTTTTGAACTAGTATGTGGTTTGGGAGAACAAGTAGGGCAATCTGCAGTTTTAAAACCTTTAAGACCACATTTGAAACAAATCACGAATCGTGGTTGAAGTGTTCAAAGTATGACCTTGTTTACGACAGCGAACACAAAGAGCTTTCTTGAGGAGCTTTAGTTTGAGAGAGACTATTAACTTGTCTAGAAGGGTATTTGTAGGATGAAGTGAATTTATTCATGAAAGGAGGAGAAGGTCGTGAGTTATTAGAAGAATTTGGAGAGTCAGCTGAACTTGAAGTGGAATGCTTGTAGTTAAATTCAGAAATAAGAGGACTCTGTTGTACATTTGGTTCTTTAAATTGTTTGTCTCTGTCTAGGAACTTTTCATAGTTTTGGCAAGTAGCCAGAAGAGAGTCCATAGAGTCAATGTCTTTCAGAGCTACGAAGACTGAATAACATGGGCGAATATTCCTCAAAATAATCTCCAATTGCTCTGTTTCAGAAAGTTTCTTCGAAAGACGAGAAAACATTCCAGACATGATGGAAATATAGATGAAGATAGGTTCATCACGGCCTTGAGTTCGATTCCTAATCGCTTCTAGAAGTTTATGATCATAATCAAAACCACCAAAGTCTTTGATTAATAAAGAGGAAAGTTCGTTCCAAGTTAAGTTTGGATTCTGATTATATTTAAATCTGAACCAATGAAGAGCATTGTCGGTGAAAATTTCGAACGCTTGAGAAATCAAAAAGTCTTTGGACAAGCCACGAGCTAAGCAGTATTCTTCAAGTTTTTGAAGAAAGGATCTTGGACAGCTTTTACCATTGAAGGTGTGTCTTTTCAGATCTTTGAAGACGTTAGTTGGAGAAAAAGATTGAGGTGGTGGTGAAGGATACGGGGTATGGATCTTAACAAAAGTTTGAGAAACAAGAGGAGGTTCCATGACAGTCGGGTCAACAGGAGGGTCAAGTGATGGAGAGTCATTTTCAGTTGGAGGTGGAGTCAAGGATTCGAATTGTTTAGTAATAGCGTCAAATTTCATCATCAAAGTATCGAAAATAGCTTTAAAGTCTGTATATAAGTCAGTATCTATTCGCTCCAATCTGTAAAAAACATGATTAATAAAAGTTTCTATTAGTCGTAAGTATTTGGTTTCACCTTGTAAAAATTTTTCAATTTTACAGTCCAGGTAGGTCAAAGTAGAACCAATTTGAGACAAGTCATCCTCGATCGGAATTGGAGAAGTCAGAATATCTTCAGGGTGAGAATTCTCAACTAAACGCAAAACCTGTTTTTTTAGAAGCAAAACAGTATTAGCTGGTTCCTCACATCTAATCTTCACTTCGTATTCGAGTTCGGCCTTGTTAAGGAATTCGTACTTAATAACCATTTTCATTGTTATAATTAAGTGCAAAGTTAAGTTTAAGAAATAAAAATTTAATTAAAAATTGTACCTCTTTAAGTTATCTAGAATAAAAATATTAAAGTGATGAATGTAAGTGAAGTGTTATATGCAGGTCTAAATATAGTCCAGATAAGTTGAAAAACTAGATGAAGTTTTGTTTTATAATTTGGAAGATATGATAAGGATGAGTAAATAAAGAGTTAAGAACGAAAGAGAAAGCAATTAAATCAAAAGGAAATGGATAAGGCGTAGTAAAGGTGAAGAAAAGAGAAAAAAAATTAAGAGAGAAAGAGAACTTTTACGTTGGGCGCCAAAATGTCGTAAAGCGACAATTAAAAACAAAAGAACCTAACCTAACAACAACGAAACAACAAAAAAACGAATAATTTATTTAAAATTTTAAAAGATATTTACAGTTTTTTATATAAAAAAATATGAAGATGATGATGGGTGACGTGATTTACAATTTTTTTTTAAAAATAAGATAAATGAGTACTGAAACGGAGCCCGAAGACCAAGGTGGCACACCGCGCTTGGCAGTGGTGCTCACCGCTCACGGAATATGCACAGGCTATGCCTGTGGTAGGTGCGCAGCGCCTGATCTAGGCACACGCAGCGTCTGGAGTAGGCACACGCAGCGCTTGAAGTAGGTACACACAGCGCCCGGACTAGGCACACACAGCGCCCGGAGTAGGCACACGCAGCGTCTGGAGTAGGTACACGCAGCGCTTGAAGTAGGCAAACACAGCGCCTGGAGTAGGCACACACAGCGCCCGGAGCAGGCACACGCAGTGCTGGAAGCAAGCACGCACAGCGGCTAAAGATAGCGCGGGCACTAGTAGGTGGAGGCGTAGGCGTGGTTAGAAGACGACTTCAGATAAAGGCAGAGGCTTGCAGGATCCCGGGGCAGTGCGGCCCCGGGATAAGGCCTTTAGGAGATGCTTCTAGTAAGAAAGCTGAAGCGAGACTGACTTTATTGGTTTTTTTTTTGCGCCCGAAGCAATTAAAGGGCTACCCTATACGTAGGGAGGCGGAAAATGTATTACGCATACCACGATAGCCGGTCTATCGTGGTTATGAGGGGCTCACTGTCCTACCGGGGACCCTAAGTGATACCCTCTAAAAACCGCCTTTGGGGACAGGCAGCCGGCTGATTAAGCTGTATTGTGCCTTATCATGAGCGACCCTCTTTTGGGAAAAGAGGGCGCAGGCGGCTAAGTGCCGCTGAGGGAGTGCCTACGAAGGCAAATTAATGTTAGTTATTACAATAATTTAATTTAATTAGAGTTGGCCTGAGCCGCCAGGAGACAGTTCAGGTCGTTTGACAGTTTATTAGGCGGGTCCGAGAGAGAGTTTCTCGGCCTGCGGACACGATAGCGAGAGGGGGGTGGGGCTGCATAAGAAGCTGCCTCACGAATTAATTGGTTTGTCGACTTTATTGGCCGATTGTTCGGCTTTTATACTTTTTTTAGAGAGCTCCGCGCTCGACGACGGATCTGAGATAAGAACGGGAAATTATTTAAATTAAAAGCAAATTTTTGTAAATGGCCAAGAAGAAAAGAGTATTTTTGTGGAAGTTTTGAAGTAAAAACATCAGACCGGTAACGAATTTGAATAAAAATTGCCATGACAACCAGATAAACAACGATGTCAAAACATGTCAAATTTTGGTTTCAGGCTCGTAATAGAGAAACGGCAAGATTTAAGTGAAAAATAATTATTGATATAGGAAAAAAGGTAGCGCAACAGCGCGCACGAAGCCCGAAATTGCAGAGTTACGGAGAACTAAATAAAAGATCGAAAAAGGTAGACTCCATTGACACCGATTTAAAAAGTGCTGATAGCGTGAAAATACGAAGTGAAAATGATTTGTTATTGTGTTCTTATGGTTTAAAAACGTTACAGGATCCTATGGAAATAAAGGTGATGCAAAATATCCAGTTTTGAGGCGAATGCAGAAAATCAAAAACAGAATGGAAAAATAAATTTAAAATAGTGTAAAATGATATGTAAGTAGCATAACACTACACTATGTATTTCAGAAACTCGCTGAAGGCGCCCGTCTCTGGTATTTAACACTATATCTCGGGGACCTTTGTCTTCATCTATTAAAAGAACAGCTACTTCATCTACCATGGGCGCGTTATATCGACCTCGATGTTCGTTAGGAGGTTTCACATCAGCATGAATGATAAGTTTAAAATCATTCGTTGGTCTGTTTTCGAGTTTATATTTAAAACTTCGAATATAAGTATTGTGATCGTGAAGATATGTTTGGAGAGCGTCGATAAGATCGGTTTTTAACGTTGGGTTTAAATTTGAGCGTAAAGATACCTGATCTGTATGGGAAATAAAATATATTTGCAAAAATTCGGGTTGTGCGCCTTCAGGTGGAAGTAAATTACCGATCAGAAGGTAAACTTGCCCCTGGACTTTAAAAGTGGGCATAAATGATTTCTTATATTTACGCGAACACTACACATTGAAATAATACTAGTTTTTACGGAATTTGTCGCGTATATTTAACTTTTTAAATATAGCACGCGTCACGTAAAAAGAACGCTGGAAGAAAGTGGTGGGAGTGTGTTTGCGCATGGGTACAGTCTCGCACGAAAGTTATGTGCCATCCATCCTCATCTGAGTCGGAATCATGATCCCCTATGTGGATAGCAAATGTTTCTGTCATCATGTCCACCACATGATCGCTTTTACAGTAATCAGCCTCTATTTCTTTTACCTTCGTGCATAGCTTCCCCCATTCTGTTGCTCCCATTAAATTTACTTTTTCATGAATCAACTCAGTTATACGTGTCAAGTTCCAAGTTACATTTTTACAGGCAACATAACTTTTTATTTGGGACCAGGTCATTTCAATAGGATTCAGGTCCGGGTGGTATGGGGGCAAACGAAGTACAGAATGTCCTGCTTTGTTCAAAATAGCATCGATATTAAATTTCTTAAATTTATGTTTGCATTTTTTTATTAAGTTGTACAACTCCGGCTTTAGCATGGTCTCTTCAAATTCAATACCTTTTTGACGAAGCCAGGTTTGCATGTCTGCTTTCTTTGAATTGGACGTTGGTGCAGCATCGAGTTCTTTATTGTGGTACGATGCATTATCGACTACCACGACTGAATTAGGCGGTAAATTTGGTATCAGTTGAGTACGGAGCCACCGCTCGTAATTTTCAGAATTCATATTGTCATGGTAGTCGCCGCTTTTTGTACCGGCTTTAAACGTCAGTAAAGCATTCGGCACAAAACCTGCATCGCCACCCGCATGCACTATGACTAAGCGGCTACCTTTAGATACAGGTTTTTTAATGCCCTTGGTGGAACCATCTGTCCAAGCATAGTGAGACGCATGGGAACTATCGACGTATGATTCGTCAGTGTAAATGATAGGTCTTACTTCCTCTCTATATTTTTTAATCTTTCTCAGATATTCAAATATTTTAAATCGAATTTTAGACTGCTCAATTAAGATTTTTCTATTGGTTTCCGTTTTTTTCCATTTAAAACCCAAGTTTTTCAATACTCGCCTGAGACTTGCTGCAGATCCTTGGAAATGTATGTCATCCTGTAACTTCCTTTGCAACTTGCCTATGGTAGGCAATTCTTTTTCAGTAACGTGAAAATTATGGATCATTCTTTTTATAACACCCTGGTCAAAGCTGTCAATGTCTGTTATTGGTTTTGTTTTTTTTCTTTTATTTTTGCCGGGAGTTCGGAAAACAGTAAGAAATTCCGAATCTTTTGAACCCTTTACTATTCGTCTCACTGTCGACTCGGAACATTTTGTTGCCTCTGCGGTCCGTTTCATACATTGTTTTAAATTATTAACTACATTATTATCAGCTTCCCTCTTCATAAAACAGTATACGTCATAAATCATTTTTCTCACTTCTCTATGTAAAACCATTTCGTAATTTAAAACTTTTGTGCGCGATGGTATTTTTAAAAGGAACGTAACGTGGATACTACGCGGGAAGCAAAGCTCAACTGATGAACCAATAGCGCATCGGTAAACATGCGGCGCGTGGCTCACCCGCCCCGCGCCCTACCTCATACCACCAAGTAGACTGATAAATCGCCTATGCGCAGCTTGACCGCCAGCGTTCTTTTTACGTGACGCGTACTGTACCCGACGTTTCGAGAGCTTTACAGCACTCGTGGTCACGGGAAGGACTGAGATGTTCAACGTCCAGTTGTCATAGTTAACCGCGGTTATCATTTATTAAAATTTAACTTTTAATCTATGGTAACCGCGGTTAACTATGACATCTGGACGTTGAACATCTCAGTTCTTCCCGTGACCATGGGTGCTGTAAAGCTCTCGAAACTTCGGGTATTTAAAAAGTTAAATATACGCGATAAATTCCGTAAAAACTAGTATTATTTCAAACTGGGCATAAAGTTTCCTTCACGAATTTCTTTGGCACCAAATGAAGTCATCTGAAACAGAGTATTATATTGTCTAGAGTGATTTAAGAAATGCTTAGAAGATGGATGTGAGCCTGATATTAGATCTTTAAGAATTGATGTTAGTGCTGGAATTTTAGGAATATTTACTTTGCCACCACTACAACCCAGTCCAGGAGCTTCAGCCGGCCATTTTTTTGCTTCACATGAATTACATATTTTATTCCTTCTGCAAATATTAGTACCATTTAGCTCAGCATAGTCAAGGGTATAATCATAAGCAAATGCTGAATTCAATAAATTATATTGCCTGCGAGTTCTGTTCCTTGCTGTTCGTGCATTTTGCTGTGCTAATCGATGGGAACGTTCAGCACTTGATTCCCGTTCCTGGTTTGCCGGAGTGCGGGAATTCTGTGTAGCTAAACGTTGAGAACGTTCAGCGCTTGATTCCCGTTGCCGGTTTGCCAAAGTGCGGGAATTCTGTGTAGCTAAACGTTGAGAACGTTCAGCGCTTAATTCCCGTTGTCGATTCGCCGAAGTACGGATATTTTGTGAGACTAACCGCTGCGAAAGTTCAACACTCGATTCCCTAACACGGTTTTGTTCACTGATCGCTCGTTGAGTAGCCAACCTGTGCAGATTTTCTTCGGGTGTTTCATTGCTGCGTAGAAGTCGCAATCGCTTTGCAGTAGCAGACTGCCTAGAAAGCCGAGTTCTTTTTCTAGGCATTATAGTAAAGAGGTAAAAGAAAAACCGTATAAAATTAAAACTTAATTAAAATAAACTAAAACGTAGTAATCAGGTAAAAGAAACGTAAGGTTCAAATTATTAAAAGTCTTTTAAATTATTAAAAGTCGTATGAAATATATGTCAAAGGAATTATCGTAAATGACTTCAAAAAACGCAACGCTGCATTCAACCGTTCCGTAGGGAGCCGACCACGCGTCTGAGCCGCGCGGCATGGTACCTTGTAAACCAAAACACGCGGGCGGCGCGGCGGGGCGGGGGAGCCACAGGTGGCCAGCAAGCGCGACCTCCTCGTCTCGCCCGTCGCCGCGCCGCCAGCGTCTCGTCTTGCTTGCATCAAGCGCGCGTGGATTTCCGGAATGTATTTATTATACTCTTCAAAGATCTTATACTTACAATCATCAACAAATATATTTCGAAAAAGATTATTACAGGATTTTATGTTGATAAAAAAACTCTATGGCCCATAACTCATTAATAGATACCAACTCTTAACATCTTACACACGTGATAACTTTTAAACGAAATATTCGATTGAGATGAAACAAAAAGTATTTTACTTCTACATAAATACTCTTGATAACATAATGCTTAATTTTGATAAAGATTAATATTACGATACATATTTAACGTTGTTTTTTTTCTTCAGACGATTTAATAATTATTTTGAACACAAAATCGGTTATTGTGATTAAACCATGATAGCTAGATATATGTTATCGCAGACTTTTTTGTAGGTATTATTGGGATCTACAAACCCGTAGTACATCATTTTGTTTTATTGTCAATAGTTTTTGCAGCGCACGCAAAAATAGGTTTTCGATTTTACACCTTGTGTTACAAAATAGCAATTTTATTACGGATCCCTAATTTTGAAAAAAAAAACATAAAGCCTATAGCCTTCCTTGATATATGGACTACCCAACACTGAAAGAATCATTCAAATCGGACCAGTAGTTCCAAAGATTAGCGCATTCAAACAAACAAACAAACAAACACTGCAGCTTTATAATATTAGTATAGATTTGATCCTACAGTTCGGGACAGTCGATCGTGCTATTTGCTATATTAATAAGGAACGATAGATCCGGTATTCGCCTTCTCCCATATAGCGGCAAAATGTTCAACTTTCGGCAACGTGTTGTGTAATCCGGTAGAAAGATCTTATCTCTAAATTGAAGCTAGCGAAGAATTTCAATACGCGTAGAATAAATATTATAAGTTGGATTTCATATTGGAGAGAGTATGAAAGTACAGTAAAGAATTTTGAAGGTTTTTATAGAATTAAATTCAGAAGACATTCTTAAAGGTTTTGTTTATAATATTATCAATATGTTCATTAAACAGTAATGAGGAATTAAAAAGTACTCCTAAATCGCGAATATTGTTGATCCTAGTTATATCTGTATGTTTTATAGTGTAGCGGAAAATCAAAAGTTTGGTATCGATGAGATGCTTATTGGGCAGGCCCTCGAGACCCCACTGCACCCGTGGTGCTGGTAAAGAAGAAGGACGCCAGCATGCGGTTTTGTGTTGACTACCGCCGTCTGAACGACGTTACAAAGGACAGCTATCCCTTGTCAAGAATTGATGACACGCTGGACATGCTTACAGGAGTAAAGTGGTTTAGCACGCTGGATCTAAAAAGTGCCAATGGCAAGTTGAAATTGACCCTAAGGATAAGGAGAAAACTGCGTTCTCGACGGGAAAGGGTCTGTGACAATTTAAAGTAATGCCGTTTGGATTGTGCAACGCTCCAGCAACGTTTAAAAGGCTGATGAAGCTTGTACTTACCGGGATAATTGGCGATGCCTGTCTGGTCTTCCATTCACTTCTGCAACATAAATTTTCTTTGTCACTCTTTCCTCAATCATTCTTTCCACATGACCAAACCACCGAAGCATTCCTTTCTTAATCCTGGTTACAACATCATCTTGCAAACCGCACTCTTCTCTTATTACACAATTTCTTACCCTGTCATTCAGATTCAGCCCTAACATACTCCTTAACGACCGCATTTATACTGCGTTCAGACTACTCTCGTGCTTCTTCTGCTACACCCAGCTTTCACTACCATACGTTAAAGTAGGGACCAACACAGCATTGTGAATTGCCATACGTGCCTTTTTCGACACATTTTGACTCTTCACAATAGAGTGCAGGGCCCCATTTACTCTATTTCCCGCATTCACTCGTCGTTCTATATCCTTATCATATCTCCCATCCCTGCTAAATACGCAGCCCAAATATACAAACTCATCTACTTGCTCGATCAACTCCCCTTCTATTCTTATTTCACAAACCGTTTTACTTTCTTCTCTTTCAAAAACCATAACCTTAGTCTTACTTGCGTTTACTTTCATACCCCTTTCTTTTAATGATCTGTTCATTAATGTAACCATCATTTGCAACTCGGCCGCCGACGACGCAAGTATGACTAGATCATCGGCGTACAAAAGGCATTTGACGGTTAACTCACATTCCCATCAATTCCCATTCTTAACCCGCGTTCTTCAACTTTCAAATTTTCCGAACAACTGTCCATAAATAGGTTGAACAACCACGGGGAAGCTACACA